GTCATTGCCTCAGACCAGGCGCACACGCCGTGTCATCTCTCGAATGTTGTGCATAAGAGTAATAATCACGGAGGTATACAATTATAAAAATATTCTGTTGCAATCATGATAACTCCCATGGTTACCCGTATCGAGGTAGCAAACCTTATCTTTTATCACGCAAAATAACGCCCTTCCCTTATAAAAATGCCACAGACACAGTTGCACTGTGTCGACAGTGTGTACACACGGTGCACACTGTGGTCACACCGTGTGTACACACTGTGGCTGCTGAGTTTGGACAGAAAAACACAGTGTACAGAATTGAAATAGTCAGCCACAGTCCGAAAAGTCCACTGATTAATCTCAGATAAGATAGCATTATACCAGGGAACATTATAATTTCACTGTTCCCTGATAATACATACGGGCCAAGTATCGAAATGCACGCCATCGTGCTTCGGGATTCAATATTTCGACATTAATTAGGTCATCATCAGGAACGAAAAATTATCCGTATTTGCAAGCTTATACCAAAAGTGTTTGACCAATCAAAACATTACCCCTAGTAGGTGACATAGCTATGAATAAGATTTTCTCTATGGAATAAGCTAAAGATCAAAGCATCCTTACCCTACTGATCAAAGTTACTACAAAAACAAAGAAAGCTCCTTTGAAGCTTTCAGCCCATTGTTAAGCAATGGGTGTAGCCTACGTATATAGACCAATTTTGCGAACTGTCAATAATGTTAGTATTAGAAAATATTAAATCAATTTATTACTTACATTACAGGCTACATTATCATTTTAAAGTATACCTTGTAAACCTAAAACATATTGGAATGCCTCACAATTTTGTATATGATCATTTATAACACTATCGGATCTTGAAGAATGTTCTTTATGTCTAGTTATTAAGCATCTATCTGTCTTACCAAATGTAATCACTATTGCGACATTTAAAATGATGAACAACAGAGCTCCTATATATTCCTTAGGGGTTTGATCTTTAGTAGATAGTGTACACACTGTGATCATAATGTGTTACAACATAAGGTAGGCCTACACATTGTGCAAATTCACATGGTTTGTCCACAGTGTGGACACACTGTAACAAAAGTACGTGTGTTTTTCTACATTGAAAACACAGTGAGAAATTCACATAGTGATTCATACTGTACACACACTGTGTTCACAGTGTTTTTACACAAAAATCACAGTGTAAAATTCACATAGTAGTTCCATGGAGGTATTATTGAGAAGGAGATCACTCGGCAAAGCTACGCGCACGCAGCGCTATGCAAATGAACCAAGATCAAAGTTACCGCAGCGCGTAAAGAACGTTTGCGCGATGCCTTTGAAGTCCCATG